GTGGTTTCCTTTCCAGACGATTTCAGTTCAGCTTTAAAGATTCTGAAAGAAACATAATGGTGCAATCAGATGTGAAACTGGATTGGCAGTAATGCATGTAAAATAGAATGTGGAAGAGATTAGAAGAATGATAGCTCACAGATTATTCATAAGAGCTTTGAAACATGACTTCTGGAATGAAAAACTGCAGCTTGCTTTGTATGCATCTCCAGTTATGTAGCCTATCCTGCCTCTCTTGATATTTAGCTTGTAGTTTTCCCTTAGCATCTATCTCAGTAACAGAATGAACCATTACAAAGGCACACTGAAATGCTTAACTATGTTATGATCACTGTCTCTCAATATGTTAAACCCAGCTTTAATTACCAAACCTTTGCCCTGTTATATCGTGTCCTTGAAGACTGTTTCTGAAGATGATTGAAATAAGCTGGCTGTTCATTTACCCTATCTGATGGCTACTCAGTACTTGACTTAGCTTTTCTATTTCTTTCACCCAAAGATCACAGTGTTCCCTAGGAGCACAGTCCTACATTATGACCTATATGGACAGAACACCAACCCCAGTGACTTCAGCAATTTACACAGGCACATGCTGAATCAGGGGCTTGCAAATTTTTATCATAGTCATTTGAAAATATACTGGATGATCGTCAGGTGACAGTAAAGGTGATTGTCAACCACAAGCAACACATTAAATTTAAGGCATCATACAGATGAGCCATGAAAATGTTCCACGTTCTTTGTAGAACATTTTCATTGCTTATTCCCCATTTTATGGTGCCTTAAATCAGGTGTATGTGTAGCACCCTTCCTAGTTATGCTGCAATTAACACACGAATCATGGCATAAATGTAATGTATAGAGGAGACCTAAATGACTCAATGTCAGCATTCATGCAAGACAGGAAAAAAAATGCCAGGAAGAGATAGAAGAAGAGTCAAGCCTGTTGGAAACATTGTAAGATAGAATGGCAATCAAAAGGGGATGGATGTTTATAGCTGTGACAGGTAAAAGAATGACAGTATCTGAATCAAAGACGTCTCTTGCAGAAGTAGCAGCTCAATGGAGGCTGGTGAAATTGAATTTTGGTCTTTTTGAGTCCAAAAACTGCTGCAAAAAATTAATTATATGTTATATGAAATGGAAAAAGCTTAATGTCTTTTAGAGAGACCATGCTACTTAATAACCCTAGTTTTGCATAGCTGCAGAAATTTCTAAGACCTTTAGGGTTTGTGACAAACTGGAAGTTCTCTGATTTTTGTTTACCTTGGAAATCATTACCTTCCAAATAAATGTGGCTGAAAAGAACATAAGAATCACAAGAACATTTGGGTGTAGTGTAGTGGTGCCTGATACATTGCTTTGGTTAAGTTATTTTTTTCTTGTCTAAACAATCCATTTTAAGGCCTTCAGACAGTCCATTCTGAATGATGGAGCTTTCATAGAACCATTTAGAAGTTATAATTCAACAAAGAACAAAAATTGCCTGAAGATATTTTTTTAATTTAATAAAGCTCCAAGCTGACTTCCAAAGTTGTGCAGTCTATAAAACTTCTAAAATCTAGAAGGTGGAACACCTACAACTTATTTCAATTAAAAAAGTAGAGAACCTTGATTAAAATAACATGTTATTTATTTTGTATTTTGGGGAATTACAGTTTAACCATTATGGATATCCTATGTCCAGCAGACTGGAAAAGAAAAGATTAAATAACTCCAGTGAAGGATAGCAATCTTTCAATCTTCTAGCTGTCTTGCTTGAGTTGTCTTTTAATAGAAGTTTTGACACTTCTGTGAATCTCAGGTGGAGATTTGGAAAAAATTCTGATATAAATTTTAGTTCATAGAATACAGTTAACAAGTTCCACTGACAGGACTGTTGCTGACCCCAGAAGATGTGCTAGTAAATTTTATAATCTATTCTTAGAAAGATTCTGTCTCCTGAAATTCCTAGGGCCAACCCTGCAACCTGTATTTAGAAGTGACTTTAATGGGTTTTAAACAAAAGACTAAATGCTTTGCTTAATAGGGATGATATGCTAAATGAAATGCATATTAAAATGTTAATCAATGTTAATATTGGTGGGGACAGAACTGGGAAGAGGGGCACTTAGCTGGTTTTTGAATATGATAGTTCTACTAATTGATTTTCAAAATGTTCCATCTTTGCAGACTCACTGGAGCCAACAAAGGGAATAAAATCAGGATAGTCTTATCATACAGGGCCTTCAAGCTAGAGAAATTCAAACACGGCTAAGGTGCAGGTTTTTAACAAAGGGTAATTAATCCCAGAAACTCAATTTCAGGGATGTTCTTGTGGCCTGTTATAAACTGGTTAGGGGGGATCAGCAGGCGCTGGGGGAGTCCCTGTTCCCCCGAGCGCTGCAAGGCGTGACCAGGAACAATGGTCACAAGCTGGCAGAGGGAAGGTTTAAGTTGGACATCAGGAGGCGCTACTTCACGGTCAGGGCGGCTAGGGTCTGGAACCAGCTTCCAAGTGAGGTGGTGCAGGCTCCCACCCTGGGGGTTTTTAAGAGGAGGTTGGATGACCACCTTACTGGGGTCGTTTGACCCCAGTACTCTTTCCTGCCATGGCAGGGGGTCGGACTAGATGATCTGCTCAGGTCCCTTCCGACCCTAGAAACTATGAAACTAAGTCAGGGTTGGATAGCTCTTTGTAAATGTTGCACTGAAACTCAAACAGAAGTTCTGGATTTGGTACAGAATTACTGGGTGACAGTATGCATTATAATCTGTATGCATTGTGGACAAGGTTAGGCTGGACCAGTGGGGGCCAATCTTTTTCGCAGGCATGCCACAAATTAGCTCTCCATCATCCCTGAGTGCCCACTCTGATCCCATTCTTCTGCCCAGTCTGTTTCTCTGTCTTCTGCTCCCTACTCTGTCCAGTCTCCTATGCTTTCTGCTTCCTTCCCTATGTTCCCTGCCTGATCTCCTACTCCACTTTGTGCTTCCTGACATAGCTGCTGCTGTGTTGCCTGACCCATTCCTGACCTGCTGCGTGCCACCCATACATAGGCTGCTGGTGCCACTTGTGGCATTTGCGCTTTAGACTGGCACCCTTGGACTAGATAATCATAATAGTCCCTTCTGTCCTTAACATCCTTATCCACATTGCCACCTGAAGTACTTGGTCAATTATAAACCCAATGTACTTTTTAGACCAGATACTGAGATTCATAATTAACCAGTTTCAAATGTAGATGTTTTGAAGCCAGTCTACTCCTAAGGTTGCCCAACCATCATGCTATCTGCTCCTGGCTAATTATTTGCTTTTTTTTAAATTAGCTGAAATATTTCAGCTGTTTCTGATAACAAGGCAATGGAAAAATAAGTTATTTTTTCCATTTTAAATTCTGGCGAACTTTTCTTTGAGAAGAAATGTTAGCACCTCTCTGTCTTGGAGCAGGAGGTTATACATTGATAGGAGAGAGGCAGGAGGAAGGTGCTTGTAGGAGGGAAAGTGTTGTCAGGGTTGTGCCTTTTTGCTTTGTTTTGAGACCCTCATTTTCAGTCCTCAAAGATAGCCCTATATATGTGTTCAATAGAATTTAATAGCTAAACATCTCTGAACTGTCCCTTCTCCCTAACCATGCTGGAGTCTCTTACAGCAACTAGGGCTGATGCGAACGGACAGCTGTGCACTTTTTCTACAGAGCAAATCTGTATACAAGTTTCCCTTGCTTTATGCTTTACATGTGTTCCTGGAAAACGGTGCATGACTCAAATTCGCGTAAAGGGAACCCACTTTACAATGTAACAAATAGAGATATGTTCCAAGACCTCAACTGTACTGACCCCCAGACCCACTTCTACCACTTTTTCAAGACAATTTTGGTACTAACCAACAGCAGACAGTACACACAAGCATGGGACACTATCATAATGGGGATAGCAACTACAGAAACGTGTCTCAGACAACGAGCAAGGAACACAGATCCACACAGGATACTACATTTTGGTGCTTATCACTCCCACAATGCACCGCACAAAGCAGCTCTGTGGGTTTCCGCCGCACCAATTACATAAGAGTGAATTTACCATGCATATAATAAATTTTTGGTATAAAAAGGGTCATCTCATAAGAGAGAATTCACACATACAGAACCTGCATAAAACAAGGGACACCTGTACTTCACTTGTGGGGTTGCCTGGGTACCCAGGCAGCCCAGAAGAGGAAACTGTCTGCTTCAAAGGCAGAGGGGACAAAAACCAGATGAAGGAAGGGTAAAGGGTCTGTTGGGACAAGGAAACTCATGAGGCAGGACTGGAGGCAAGTAGAGAAACTGGGATTGGTTGGTCAAGGAGACTGGGAGTGAGAAGGGAGAGAAGTCTGAGACTCGGGATTTGAGATGGGGAGGAGGTATGTACTTGAATGCCATGGGAGGCTAGCACTGATGCATGGTACAACAGGAACAGATGGGTAAGAAGAAAGGGGCTGGGAGCCAGAGGGAAGAATAGGGACCAGGGGGTGGGGAGACTGGGAACTGATTTGGCATCTTGCTAAGACTGAATGAGGGAAGAGACTCTGTCCAACTGGATAAGGAGACTGGAACTAGGAACCTGCATGAGAAAGAATGGGGACATGGTAAAGGGACACAGATCTGACAATTTGGTTATTTCCTAATGTGTGAGCATTTGACTTTTTTACCTTAATAATTTAACATGCATGTGTGTGTGTCATATGAAATAATTGAATAGGACTAGACTAGGACATACATGTCTTGCTATAGGTGCGTCTCTCCTGAGAGTCTCAATTAATTATTTTTATGCACCCTCTCTAGCAGATCCCTGAATAAGGATGGCTCTGTGTGATGAAAGGACTTCACTGGTAACTATTTAGGTTAGTCCCCAGTAGACTTTGAAGTTAATGGGGCAGCTGGCATCACTTACTATAGCTCTGCTGTTGTAAGTTTACAGTAGCTGAGGGGCTTCCTCAAAATCTGCAGGACTAGCTCATTTATTTTCAAATTACACAGGAAAGTTAAATTTGCTGGAAGTTCTTTGTCTTTTATTGAAGCAAACAATAACCAAACAGTTGCCCCAACTGACATTTCTCCTGAAATGATGAACCAAGAATTCAATGGGTATGTTGAGACTTAAACTGTATAATACAGATAATTACAGTCTTGCTGCTGCCAGATAACAAAAGAGTACATAATCATTTTGAGTAAGATATTCATACAGAAACCACTAATACTTTACAATAAAAGCTTCTTACAAAGATTGCTTTGTGCATACAATTAAGAAAAATGTGTTTTCCCAGCTCCAGTATTTATACTATTAATGCTATATTTTTTAATTTCAGAACAATGAACCTAAACAATACTTTACTGCAACAAGTGCTGGAAAGAAAACATGAGGTACTGTGTGTCCTGACAGAGAAGATAGTAACAACTAAAAAGTGCTTGATATCTGAACATATTCAGACAGAAGAGAAAATTGGTGGCATAGCAGGATTCAGCACAAAAGTTGTGAAGGTAAAAGGAAATTATATAACCCATAAACCATTTATCCAACTACCACAGATCACAGTTTCTTCAACTGCATTCTTTATTTTAAAGTATTTGGCATTTTTGATAACATTTTAAACTCTAGTAGTTACAGAAGTTTCTCAGCAAATATTCCTCATGTTACTTAATTGTAATTGAGCAGAAAAGAAGCATGCCATGCTATTTTTTTTTCTGTTTCCTAACTGGTTGAAAGTACAAGCTCTTTTATGAACCTAGAATCTGGTTTCCATGAATACTATCATGTGGTTCAGTTTCTGTGAGCTTTCCTGCCAGTAAAAAAAAGCTTACACTTGTTAAAAGAAAGTGAATGTTAAAGGCCCGTGAGAGTGGCTGAAACCAATTAATTTAAAAAGTCAAGTGACTGTTCACAGAAAATGTTTTAGAATCCACCAAGCTCCACTGAGTATAATAATGATCCCAGTGGCTTCACAGGGGGTTGTTAAAAACATCTCCTGATACACTAGTCTAACAAGCTGAGAAGAAATCAGCAACTTTATATGAAAATATAAAGTATATACAACAAATGCCTCCTGTTGTATATAGGGGAGTCTTCACTGACATAAAACTGGCAGTGACAGTTCTACAGCTTCTGCCATTTTCACTATCCTGTTCGACCAAATTTTGTGCTGCCCGTTGTTAAAATAGGGGCAAGATGAGCAGGAGATTTGGTGGGAGGAGAGGACAAAGCAAAGGAACATTGAAGTGAAAACCAGTTTTTCACTCTAGTCATGTTTCTGTGGGACCCTACATCAGCAGTATAAGTCAAAGAGGCTTTAACTGAAGTATTTTAATTTGCTGGAGCTTATGTTAAACTGGGTTCTTGCAAATCAGGGGGACTACTATCATTTCTCACCCTCCACTCTGCTGTTAAGCCTGAGCTTCACTGCAATTGTTCTGTGGCTTAAGTCAAATATATGTACTCTATGTGAACATGGTGGGAAATTACATTTTTTTCTCTAAACTAATTTTTTCCTCCCCCTGAGTTATCTTTTGTGCACAAGTTGTTTTAAAGTTGAGTTGAATAAACAGTGGGAGAATATGTCTTCAGGTTTCAGTGAGCGAAAATGGAAACATGATGAAGGATTCTAATGTGGTCTTAGAGATTCCTGCCCCTACCACTATTGCATATGGTGTCATTGAACTGTACATAAAGCATGATGGCCAGTTTGGTAAGTAGCATGCCCACGTTCTTTTGCATGTAGTCAGAAAGAGCTACCTATTGCAAAATGTCTTTTCATTGATCTCTGTAATAGGTCCAGAATATGATGGTGAAACAGATTTGTCCATTTTAATACAATGTGGTGGAGAAACAAAGCATGGATCTGGCAGTTCATCAATTTTTCTGACTTTCAGAAAATTTCTCCTCTCTATTTGCTCAGAGAAATGACCGTAACATGGTCTTGCTATGTTCTGTCAAATGCTTCATGCAAATATTCATTGGATTGGGCTGGTGTGGTTGTCTTTTTTTGGTAAATCTCTTCCCAGTGCACTCCACCTGTACATAATTTATCACAGATACAAATGAGGTTTCTGAGGGAGATCTTCAAGATGGAGGAACCGAGAAATGATAGATAAAATGTATCTGAGATATATGAAGGGCACCTTTAAGATGCTATAAATCTATCAAGTATCTCAGGTTGGGTCTGGATTAGGCTGTACGTAATGCATCTAGATTGACTTCTGAACCATGGGGTGAATTGGTAGGGCCATAAGTAAGAAACAGTATCCTGTTTTTTGTGAACAGAACACTTTTTATCTAGAATTTTTCAGATATAATGAATGTGCAGACCCTAGCTCTCTGCGAAATTTCGCCGGGTGTTTCGTTTCAAAGCTGTTTTGATGTGTTTCAGGTCTGAAACAGGGAAATGGAAATGAAACAAAAGGCATCAGAACAGCTTTGAAATGAAACAAGGGCACTCAGAAAGTTTAGAAACATTTTAAGTTTTGAAGCCAGGCTTGACTTGAGCACAGGTCCCAACTGGAAGCAGCAACCTCCTCTCATCTGGTGCGCAGATCCAGAGGCCTGCACCCCATGGTGGGCTGGGGGGCTGTGCTGGATGTGGGGAGGCTGCTACTGCTGCTTGGACCTGACAGCAGCACCATTCTTTCCTGGCACTGGGTGCAGGCTGTGCCCAGTGCCGGTCCCAGTCAGCAGCCTGAGCCGCCTCTCATGGGAAGCACAGATCCAGGGGCTCACACCCCTGGGAGGAGTCCAGCAGAGCCCAGCAGCCCTTCTGGGGGTGCAAGCCCCCGGATTTGCACCCCAGATGAGAGGAGGCTCAGACTGCCTCTCCCACCAGGGAACAATGCCCCCTGCTTACCTCCCTACTTGGCTTCAGCCCCCCTGCTCAGCCCGCACTTGGCTCCAGCCACCCCACTTGGCCCACAGCCCGGTTGTGGCCTGCTTACTAGCCCCCTGCCCAGCTGCAGCCCCCCACTGCAGCTTTCCAGCAACAGCAGATGCGCTCTTGGCCTTGTGTCACAGCTCCCCTGCATGGCGGGGGGCGGTGCAGCTCGGCCCCAGTTGCCAGGTATCTGCGTGGCCTCTGCAACAGAGCACTGCTGTGGCCTGGCTCAGTGCGGCGCAGCGCAGGGCCGTGTGTTTTCGGGCAGCTCCGGGCTGTCACCCGGGGCTGCACGCTGTTTGCAGGGACCACCGACCAGGGTCCTACGCTCATGAGCCCTGCACCATCCAGCTGGGCTGCTTCTTGCATGCAGACCTCAGGCCGGTGTGGCCGGAGGTCCCCGCTCGCAGCTTGCAGCCCGGGGTGACAGCCAAGAGCTGCTTAAAAGCACACAGCCACACCGTGCCAAGCCAGGCTGCAGCAGCGCTCTGTGGCAGAGGTCACGCAGATACCTGGCAGCTGGAGCCGAACTGCGCTGCCCCCACCGTACAGAAGGGCTGTGCCAGAAAACCAAGAGCATGGCTGCCGTTGCTGGTAAACTGCGGGGGGGGCTGTAATTGGGAAGGGAGCATGTGGGGAGGGCCGCAGCCGGGTGCGGAGGTGAGCGAGGAGGCCACAGCCGGGCGGCAGGGGGTGAGCGAAGAGGTGCCGGCCCCTGGTAAGAGAGGCAGCCTGAGCCTCCTCTCATCCCAGGCGCAGATCTGGGGAATCACACCCCTGGGAGGGCTGCTGGGTTGTGTTGGACTCCCCCTGGGGATGTGAGCCCCTGGATCTTTGCCAGATGAAAGGAGGCTCAGGCTGCGGCAGCAGCAATTTTGTCCGGTGCTGGGCGCAGCCAATGCCCAGTGCTGGTCCCTGGTGGGAAAGGCAGCCTAAGCCTCCTCTCATCTAGGGTGCAGATCCGGGGGCTTGCATCCCCGGGAGGGCTGCCAGGCTGTGCTGGACTCCTCCTGTGGGTGTGAGCCCCCGGATCTGCGCCAAATGAGAGGAGGCTCAGGCAGCAGCAGCAGTCTTCTCTGGTGCTGGGCACAGGCCGCGCCCAGTGCTGCTCCCAGGCAGCAGTGGCATCCTCCTTGTATCCATGGTTGGCCTGCACGGATCTGGGGCCTGCATCCCCAGGAGGAGTCTGGCACAGTCCCGCAGCCCTCCCAGGGGTGCGAGCCCCCAGATCTGCGCACCAGATGAGAGGAGGCTGCTGCTGCCAGCAAGTGTCAGGACTTTTGCTTTGAACAGTTTGAGGTGCAATTTCCCAGAAACCTGTGTACGTATGTCCTCAGGAAGAGCTACCATCCCTGCAATTTTCATCTGAAACAGGCAAGAAATGGCAAAGTTTTAGGAATTTTCATAATTCCCCATTATAGCCTATGGGTGAAACCGTTTCAGTGAAGCAAAACAGGACAGTGCTTTGAAATGAAACGACGAAACAAAACACCATCCCTTTGAAATGGCGAAACGGACATTGAAAGGAAACAATGGTGTTTTGCGGAGCCCCAGCAGACACCCCTAAAGGATGTTCATTCATTCAGTAGACACTTTTCAGATCAGGATTGCAATTTAAGGGTTACAGCTGTTCGCTCCAACAAGTACTTAAACCAACACTGTATAATGGTTGTAGCTGGGAATCTCTACCTTAGAAAACTGCCAGCTGATAATTAATACACGTGTTTTCATTGATCTTGTATTCTCATGCTATCTCTTTCTCCACTTTGGCAGAACCCTATTTTCTTATTTAATTATCTAATCCATCAGGCTTCATAAATAACATGTGTCTTGTGTCATCTTTGTTTGTTCGGACAAATAAACCACATGCTTTGCATTTTTTTTTCTGTTTTTTTTTTTTGTTATTACCGTTATCTCTCCTTTCCCTCAATGAGAAGAGAAATTCAAAGAAAAGCAGAAGGATCCATAGTGCATAATTATGGAATAACTTGCATGAAATGTTCCAATTGGGTTCTTTCTCACCCCTTAGAGTTAGTTCTTGGCTTAGGTTTTAAGACATGAAGGTTTATAAAGCTTATAAAAATGGACTCTCTAATATGAGTAGGGCCTCTTGGCCATAAAAATGCCTATTCTTTTCTAAGTCCTACTACGCCCTTTATCACAGTGATTTTTTTTTTGTGTGTCTCTGATTTTGACAGGTTAATTGTCCACTGTATATAAGAACACTTCCTTTTTAAGACTTCAGTTTTTTTGCCCTTTTAGTTTCTTTGTGAATCACCTCATTCTGATAAAAGATAAATAGCAGCACCTGGCTAACTAGCTTTGTACCATTCATTATTCAAAAAATATATACTTTTGACATAACTCCTCTTAAAACCCTCCTTTGTAAATTAGACACTCCTAACTTTTTCAGTCCCTTTTCCCATGGGAGTCTCTCTGCCTCTAATCGTCTTCATTTCCCATCTTGGGTTCTCTTGTTTCTACTAGTACTTTTCAGATAAGATAAGAACTGAAAGCAGCATGCTATGTGAGGGTGCAGCATTGATGATATATCACTATAGCACTGTGATATTGAGGGTTGGGTGTATATTCTATATATATAAAGGGCTTAGTCTGTCTGTCCGTAATGCTTTTGGCTAACTGCTTATGTGCTGCTGAGAGGGTGGCAGCGATTGTCTGCGTGGGCCCAAGTTTGAGCTGCTGCTGGGATAGTTTGTGACGGTGGCAAACGTGCCCTGGCTGCCTGAGAAGTGGGGCTTTCCCATGCTTCCCTGCCGGAGGGCAAAGTGGGGGGTCATGGTGGCAGTGCCCCCCTGCTGCCTGTCCCTGACACCCCCCAGAGCAGCTGGCAGGGAGGGAGGGAGGGAGGGAGAGGAGCGTGTGGGGGGAGGCAAAGGTGGGCAGTCACCGTGGTGGCTGTTGTTGAGGCCAGGTGGCAGGGAGGGAGGGGAGCAGGAAGGGGGCCCCAACAACAGCTGGCAGGGAGGAGGAAGTGGTGGGTGGGAGGGAGGCTGCGCAGGCCTGTAGACATGGGGGGAAGTAAAGGTGGGGAGGGTCATTGTGGCGGCTGCCGTGAG